AATTTAAATGCATTTACAATTTAAAAAAAGTACTTGTTCACGAAAGGACAAATAAAATAAATTATTTTGCTCAATCAGTGCAGTCACAAGTGGAGCCGTGGAGTCTAAATTACTAAGGCAATGAATGGCGGTACAAGCCAAGCCACTTTCATGGAACCTAAAACCCAGGATTGGTGCAAACTAAACTGAAATTTACCTGGCTAGCCAGCTAATCTGGCTTCATGGTACAGGTCCCTGCTTTGCCATTCTTAGACTCAGCATAAGTTTTGTTTTCATTCAGTTGCCCACAAGAATTGACTAGGGGTGGGTGGTCAAGATCTCAATATCTTGATATATTGATACTTCTGATGCATAATGCATATTAAATGTTTTTTTAAACTTGTGAATTTATGATTTAATAAATGTGAAAATGGACCCTGCTAACAAAAATATGTTTTGTTAAGATTTAGGTAATGTCCATGTTAAGTTATAAAACCTTTTTTCTTGAATGTTCACTGAAATTGTTTTTAAATGCTTTTACAAACATTTTTCCTTGGTTATGCAAATGTTACGGGAACATTCCATTTAATCCTTTTGCAAACATTGTTACTTTTGAATGTTCTCTTCTGAACATTGTGAAACAAATTGAGAAAAAACATGAATGATGTATAAATAATGTTTTTGTTTGTAATGTTTTTCGAACATTATTAAAGACTAGATAACTCTGAATGGACAGGCTGCAGAATAACAGTTATCCCCTTCTGATGATGGCCCTGTTTATCATAAACTTTGAAGCCAAAATAATTAACAGTATTAGTTTGTGTATGATAAGAACTATTTTATAATGAATTTGAAGAAAGCAGACCAATCGCAGTTCAGTATGCAAATATTACAATGATGTCATCACAGTTGGTTACATTTCGAATGTTGAACATGTCAACAGGACATTTTCCATGTTTAATCATAACTTTCTTAAAAAACATAATGTTAATAAAAAATAAATGATTTATAATAACTGTTAAACTAAAATTGCTTGTGTGTAATGGATTAATAATAATAGAAATCATATAATTATATAAATCTTATAAAATAATGAAGTAATTATCATTAAAGCCAGACATTTCTTTTAGTACTAGTGACCTTTCATTCGTAGCAATATAAACTGGGGGAGTGACTTTTTTGTGTCAGACATGTGTCACTTTGCTCACATCTGACTGGTCCAATTTCAGTTTGAGATCTCTAACTCAGAACGTAACCTGCAGGTTAGCCGTGGAGTGTAATTTACTAAGGCAATGAACGCTGCTAAAAGCCAAGCCACTTTCATGGTACCTAAAACCCAGGATTGGTGCAAACTAAACTGAAACTTGCCTGGCTAGCCAGCTAATCCGGCTTCATGGTACAGGCCCCAGGTTTGAGCTCACGTACCTGTTGCTATGACAGCAACTCCAAGATGAGCTTTAAAGAACAATCCTGGATCATGTCAAATCATCAACAAAAAAAATCCAGTTTACTGATTAATCCTCGTATGAAGAACGGACCCCAGACAAATACTCATGCTTCCTTCAAGAGCAGCTCAAAAGACCCAAACTGGGCATTTGTTATTATGACATGTCACACGTTAAATTAGGGAAAATCATACAATTCTTTGTAACATTAAACCCAATATCTACTTAGAAAAGGCAGTGTTTCCCCTAGGCTCAATACATTGATAATGTGCCTGCAAACTTTTTTTGTCGTGAACATTGATCTGCTTTTAAAACGGATAACTGTCACTGCGACGACATGTGCGTCATGATATTAGTCCTGCCTTATGTTCACACAGGGCACGTTCTGTGACTGATCTCGGTGATGTTATTAGGTCCCCATCCCGGGATCAGTCCCGGGACGTTTTTGCATTCACACAGAAGGCACTCTAGCAATTTTATGACAATTTTCTGGGATCAGTGCTCTGTGTGAAAGGGGATTAAAACATTAACATACTAAAATATAAATATGAGGAAGTGTCTCAATGAGTCCAAATCTGGTAAGGGGTAATTAAATGTAATCATGTAAAAAAAAAAAATACATGAAATAAAATGAAATAATATTTTATTGAAAAATGAAACAACATTTGATAATTGCCTTAATCTTTTAAACAACTGAGAAAATCACCTACATCAGCATATGAGAGTCAAATTATTGGAAATATTTAAATCAGGAATGTCAGAATAAGCATTTTTTTTTATTGATTATCATGTTTTCACAATAGTTGGAAGGCAACATCACATGCAGTGTTGGGCAAGTTACTCTGAAAATGTAATCAAATTACTGATTACTCCTTTTAAAAGTAATCACGTTACTGTTCTGATTACTTTATTTCAAAAGTAATTAGTAATTAGTTACATTACTAGTGTCACGAATCCGGTACGTGAACTTCCATCCGATCGCCACCAGAGGTCACTCGTCCATCATATTGACTCTCTCACTACACTGGTGACACTACGTCACCACGGACTACATTTCCTATGCACCATTTCACTAATCACACGCTCACCTGAGACCAATTACACACACTACATAACACCCACTCAGTTCCTGCTCCGATCGCCGAGTATTGTTCTGCGTTTAGCACTCCCCAAGTGTTAGCTGCTTTACCGAGCCATTCCGTGTTTCTGTTTAGTCTCTAGTTTTTTGTTTAGCATTTCTCTTCTCTAGCGATAGCTACATCACTGAGCCATTCCTTTTCCCATTTTTTAGTTTTAGTCTTACTTTCCGTGTTGCCTTGTTGTCCGTTTCCTGACCTTCTGCCTGTGTTTATTGGATTACCCCTCTTGTCAAGCCCTCTGGATACTGTTCGCCGATCGTAGACCCACGCTAGCCCAAGGAATATTCTTTGTCTTGCCTGTGCCATACCTGTTTGCTGTTGTTCGACCCTGCCTGTGTTTTTTGACCACTTCTCTTGTGAATAAAGCTTGCACATGGATCCGCACGCCTCTCGTCTCGTCAGC